CGTTTAGAGCATCCCCGTGGATGTGGGACTGACTGTATAGAATTATTAATCTGTCTATATCGGAAAAAACAAACAAACATGTGGACCATGGAATCGAAATGAAGACCCTGATATTAACCCACACACCCATGAACACCTGATTTTCGACAAAGAAGCCAAAATTATACAATGGAAAAAAGAAAGCATCTTTAACAAATAACTGCATGTCGACATGTAGAAGAATACAAATAGATCCATATCTATCGCCATCCACAAAACTCATCCAAGTGGATCAGAGATCTCAACATGAATACAGTTACTCTGAACCTGATAGAAGAGAAAGTGGGCAGTAGTCTTGAGAGCATTGGCACAGGAGACCACTTCCTGAATATAATACCAGTAGCATAGACACTGTGATCGACAATTAATAAATGGGACCTCATGAAACTGAAAAGCTTCTGTAAGGCAAAGGACAGAGTTTATAATGCTTCTTAAGTGATGCAATGAATGGTTATGATAACACATTGCACTTCCCTTTGGTAAAGCTAAAACATAATGATCTGAATTTCCAGTAAACACCACAGCATTGTACATGAAGCCAGGCATCAAAATAGACTGCACAGGTCTGTGGTACAGAGTGACACGGAGCTGACAGGTACCTGTCATCGCGTGCTGTCATGGACCTGATGATGCTCGCATATCTGTGATGACACTGATGTAGACACACTACTGTGCTGCTGGACGCATCAAATTCAGCAGCATGCTGCTGCTGTTTGGCCTTACTTGAGCAAATTAAAAATAAAATATTTAAATAATGAAAAGATTTTATTTCATATTTCACTTTTATATTTTATTATTAAACTGTTTAATAGATGTATTGATGTTTCATATTTGTCACATTATGTTTAGTATTTATTTTAATAATTAAAAACTCTGACCTTATGAAATGAGCCATAGACACTCTGCAGGTGTGTTATATCTGTTGTATATGATTGCCTTTCAGCTCTGTTTGTGAGATGTGAGTGGCACACAAATTCTGTGTATAGATGTGGGTCCCATTCCCAAGAGACCTCAGTGTGTGTGTGTGTGTGTGTGTGTGTGTGTGTGTGTGTGTGTGTGTGAGAGAGAGAGAGAGAGAGAG